TTTATGTCAACTTGGTATTTCAATATATTTGAACAGCATAAGTAAACAAATGAAATACCAAGATGAGGTACAAAGAAACATGTAACTTTAATTTTTCACGGCCTGCAACCAAAATATATGCGATAAATAAAAGTTATGTTTCATTATACGTCAACTTGGTATTTCATTGTTTACTTTATGCTGGTCAACTATATTATCTGGAACATGCGCCTATCACATTGCTTGATTGATTGATTGATACATATTCTTGTTCATTTAAGAATTTATCTCATCCATATATTGCTATTATTATTATTATTAGTATTATTATTATATATTATTATATTATCATTACTATCGCTACTATTATAATCGTTATCATGTCCATTTTACGATTACATTATGTTATAATATATACACTGATTCCATAATTATGTTCATCGTGATCTATAATGAATCTTCCATTATTATAGCTATATATTTACTTTGCCCTTTTATTATAGTCATTTCACTCATTAATTTATTTCCTTAATCCTTAGTTGCCTTTACAGCCACCTGCTGTTTATTCACCATAATTATTTCACTTTTGTTTATATCAACTTGTTTGTAGGCTTGATGATACCTTTTGTTATTATAATTAAGTCATCATGATTAAGCCAACCCGACCAATCGCCTATTGGATATTATTGTACTGTTCCAACTTTCTGTTTTTTTTTCTTTTTCTTTTTTCTTTTTTTTTTTTTTTAACACTATTTTTTTAAATTTATTTCTGTCATGAATAATACATTCATAACATTGAACCAAAAAAATAACAATAAAAAAGCCTTAATATAAAAATAGACATAACAATATAATACAATACAATTGTACAAGAAAAACAAATTATTATTGTTATCATTGTTGTCATTGATAATAATGACAACAATAATACCAACAACAACAATAACAAAACACAAGAAATAATAATAAGCATGCTATTGAGTTTAAAATACAGTAGGGAGATTCAATTCAAGAGTCTGAGTACATCTTTATATTTTTCTAGTCTGAGTTTTAGATCCTTGAAATGAGGAATTATATTTTGTAATTTACAGCTATAGATATAATATTTAGTAAACAATATGAAAGAATTAACAATTGGTGGTAAATCAGGCTCTCCAAAGCAGATACTTTTTGTGTCAAAATTAATTACTGTATTAGTTTCATTAAAGATAAAATCTTTAGTAGTTTCCAACAAAGGAAGACTGATTCTACACTCAACAAACATGTGTAAGAGATGATCTTTTTCCTTATTACAGAAAGAGCATAGTTCAGACTTTACCAGACCAAGCTTAAACAATTTTACATTGGTGAAAACGATTCTATGCATAAATTTAAATTGAAAAACTTTAATTTTATTGTCGATAGGCAGTTTGTGAAGTACACAGAATATTTTTTTGATGTTCAATTTACCCATATCGGACCATTTTTGTTCTATTTCACTTACATCAGTACTAATACGCTCCACAATGGAATGATACACGTTGTTACAAGTTTTTTTGCATTTAAAAACAGATTCACACCTATAAATATCAACGCATTCATTATTTATTTTCGGATTTTCTTTGAGTTTAATTCTCCAAGTCGTTGGGACAGAATGCCGGATTGCATTATACAGAAGAAAATCAATTTTAATTTGATACTTGGATTCTAACTCATTTTGAAGAAGGAAAGACCCCTCGCTATTTGTTATATCTTTTATTGTGCGAATATCAGCATTCCACCAGTGACTTTGTGTTTTAAAAGCTCTATAACAAAACAACAATCACAACAAACAAACTTGACTGCAAATCTCATTTGCAGTATCCGGGTTAGGTACAAAAAGTGATATTCACTCCAGGCTGATAATACATCTTGATAGAATCCAGATAATTGGTTAAGAATACCGGACTTATTAGAAAAATTGCATGTGAAGATATATTTATTCCATCAATAGATTGTAATTCAGAGGTAAAGAAGGTTTTCCAAATTGCATCACTTTCATCAAGGTAACGCTTAATTCAGCAAATTTTGAGAGAATATATATAGCTTAGTATATGTGGCATCTTTAAACCTCCTTTATCCAACTTATTGTATAAAGTTTTTCTTCTTAATTTATCCGGTTTCCCATCCCAAAGGAAGGCAAAAAACATATTTTGTACTCTGTTGATAAATTCTGTAGAGGGATTTGGTAGATTTGAAAAGTTATACGATAAAATCGGTAAAGCCAAAGACTTTATTATCAGAACTTTTCCAATTAAGGATAGATTTCGTATTTTCCATGTTCTAAGAACATTGTCTATTTTGTCTAATTTGCTTTCAAAATTTAGTCCAAATAATTGGTCACTGTTGACAGAAACGTGTACTCCCAGGTATTTTTAAATATTTTTGTTACATTCGACTTTAAAGTTGGTATTATTAAAGGAGCCAATTCTAAGAATGTTACTTTTGTCAAAATTTACACGAAGACCGGAATATTTACTAAATTTATCAAGAATCTCTATTGCAGTATTAAGCGTTTGTTTTTTTCTTTTTTCTTGCTTATATTTTTCCTATCTTTTTGCACTTTTTTTTCTGGCCGTCGCTTTGGTCACTTCCCATGCTTAGAATTTTTCCGTGCTTTGCTGAAGCATAGGCCATATATTAAGGATATGCCTCCTAATATTTAGTGTCAATCTATGGTGTGGTGTGCATGCAAGGTCCAATTAAAGTGATTTAAGGTCAAACAGTCTACACTTGATTTTTCAAAAACTGGTCAGTTGATCTAAATAAAATATTCGAGCAAGTTTAATCAAGTTACAAGGAAGAAATCTTTATGTGTTAGTGACGTTCCAGTGAAGGGTGTAAATTTGAGGGTCTTTTTAATTTTTGAGGACCTAGACCTAAATATCTTTAAAAAAAAAAAACCAATGGGTCTAAATGAAACATTCTATAATACTTTGTAAAGGTCTAGTAAAAAAATGATTAAATTTTTGTGACAATCAACAGTGGTGTGGATCTGAGGACCATTGAAAGGAAAACGTCCCGGACCACATATTTCGAAAATTGATATTAATGAATGAAACATTCGGAAAAAGTTTAACCAACTTACAAGGAAGAAATTATTATGTGCGATTCAGTCAAGGGTGTAAACTTGAGGTTCCTTTCAATTTTTGAGGACCCAGGCCTAAATATCTCTTTAAAAAAATCAATGGGTATAATTTAAACCTTGTGTAACAGTTTGTCAAGGTTGAGTAAAGACCACATATTTCGAAAACGAATCAACTGATCTGAATGAAACATTTAGAAAAATGTTTACCAAGTTACCAAGAAGATAGTATTATGTGTTGGCGACGATTCAGTCAAGGGTGTAAATTTGAGGGACAATTACATTTTTGAGATCCCAGACGTAAATATCTATAAAAGGTTTTCAATGGGTGTAAATAAAACTTTCTATAATAGATTGTAAATGTCCAATAAAGAAATGACTAAATTTTTGTGATGATCTGACATAGGGTGTGAATATGAGGACCATTGAAAGGAAAATGTCCCAGACCAGATATTTAAAAAACGGTTCAACTGATTCAAATGAAACTTTCGGGAAAGTTTAACCCAAGTTACAAGGAAGATATTATTATGCGTAGGGGACAATCCAGGTTAGGGTGTAAATTTGAGGGTCATTTAAATTGCTTACATCCCAGTTATAGATAGATAAAAAATGAAAATTTGCAGAATAGTTTTCATGGTGAAATGAAGAAATGATCCACTTTAAATTATTTAAACATAATTTGCGTTTTCTAAAGCATTTAAACTAGTTACAGCAACTCAAAACCACCGTGATATGCATGAACAATTTTTTGCTTTTAGTCATTGCCATAGTTCAAGTCTCACTAATAACATTTTTTCCACTTTATTAAAATTATATTGGTTTTCCGTGTTTTTTTTTTAAAATTATGTTGCAATTTCAACTTCATTTCTCATTAAGCAATGGGGAAAAGCCCTATATTCTGTTGTTCAAACAGATATAGTAAGTCTAGTTGTACTTTCGTTTGTGTGCATGCTTCAGTAACCTCTAATATTACATAGTGAGGGCTTGGTGCAACTAATTATTGCATCTTCAGAGCGTAAATATTGAAAATGTAGAACTTGTAGAACTTGGTATAATCACTCTACAGACTGTTTCATGCTAATGCAATCTTCAGGAGTGAGAGAATACAAGGATTGTGTGAGTATATGAATGCTAAGGCAGGTGTAAATGCAAATGATTTAATTGTTTTTAAGTAAGTATTTGTTATTGTGCCTGAACATAGATGTGTATAAGAGACAGATCTCTATGGTATAAGTGCATGTCGTTGGCAAGTTGTTGCTAACGAAAAAATGTGAATTATAGGGTAATACGCCCGCGCGCGATCCAAAAGCGGGGAACACATAGGTTTGTCGCGTCAAAGGGATCTGTTGCCGAGTGATCTCCTTCTCAATAATACCTCCATGGTTTTAACAAGGTAATTCAACAAAAGGACGCACATCTCGGGACATAGATGTGTATAAGAGACAGATCTCTATGGTATAAGTGCATGTCGTTGGCAAGTTGTTGCTAACGAAAAAATGTGAATTATAGGGTAATACGCCCGCGCGCGATCCAAAAGCGGGGAACACATAGGTTTGTCGCGTCAAAGGGATCTGTTGCCGAGTGATCTCCTTCTCAATAATACCTCCATGGTTTTAACAAGGTAATTCAACAAAAGGACGCACATCTCGGGACATAGATGTGTATAAGAGACAGATCTCTATGGTATAAGTGCATGTCGTTGGCAAGTTGTTGCTAACGAAAAAATGTGAATTATAGGGTAATACGCCCGCGCGCGATCCAAAAGCGGGGAACACATAGGTTTGTCGCGTCAAAGGGATCTGTTGCCGAGTGATCTCCTTCTCAATAATACCTCCATGGTTATATTACTACTTGTGTTTGACCAATAAATAAATCTTCAATCTTCAATCTTGAAAACACAATAAAAATTTTTCTTTACCTATGAAAATCATCTCGTTCATTCACAGCTATACTTTTAACATTTTCTTTGAATGTTGTGTGTGGATGCCGGTAGTTGCCTGTACCTTTGTTTAATATGGCCAATACAAGGAGTTTCCCTGAAAGACATTAATAATACTAATAATAATATATATAGTGTTCTTTACCATAGCCCCTCATTGCTTACAAAACAGGTATTTGTTGAAAAATTTAGTCTTAGGAAGTGTTTGCGGAATTGTGAATTTTCTATACATTATTGTATTAGAAGTAGTTGCTTGCACCACCATACTGCCTGCTTGGGCTTTAATTTGTGTTAGATCTAAAGTATCCCATTCATTTAGGCTCACTGAAATATAGATTCATATAAGAGTTGTTTACCTGTAGCTACATATTGATATAAGGTATCCCTGGATATCTTGGGAAATGCTTGAAACCTCTCACTTACAATAAAGTTTCTCATGTCAGATTTTGTGATTACACCATCGTCAGCTGTTTAAAAAAAACCACTATTATGATGAATATATTAGATTTACTATAGAAATCTAAATGCACAAACGTACGGGCTGATAATTACGAAGATGGAAGAGCTGGGCTTTTTCTTTAATAGAGCCCAAACAATCAATAAGTGCAAAAACTTAAAAAAACAATACAACCAGTCTAAGGATGAAAACAAGTAGTCATAAACATCATTAGCGAGTGACCTAACTACCCACTGAATTTACAAAGCATGAATGAGGGTTGGTTGTAGGGCCGCACACAACTCGCTGGGTTCATACCGTTAAATGTGAAGGCGAGTTGTGTATGAACGCAGGCTTTGACAATTCCATAATCGTTTTTATCATTTTATTTTTAACATCAATTTTATTTTTACAATAAATCTTTAATCCAAACACAGTATTATACATATTGCAATAAAAAAATTAGGGGCCTATCCTTAACAATAAATAAGCAAAGGGCTATATTTTTGATCTATAGGAAAATACAGTTACAGATTTATTTATTGAAACAGCTAACTTAAATACGATAACAAAATTTATACATAGGATAAATTTGGAAGTAGCTGTATATACAAATTGAATAAGCTACAGAAGTTGCGGCATTTTTTATAGGAAATATTTCTTGTTCAATTATTTCAAAAGATTACAGTATAATCAACCCATGGACACTTAACCCACTGACTCACTTTGAAGGATAAAATGGTTGCCATCCTTAAATACAATGCAAGTAGCTTCATCTTGAACTTTGACATCTGTTGGCAGATATTTCTTTGCTGCTTCATAGAATACTCCATGTAGAACAAACTCCTCTGCTATTTCTGTGTATTTTGTCTATAAAAGGCAATGCTTATAAAAGTAAATAGTTTTTCAAAAAGGTCCTATTTTAACAGATTAAAATTTGCTCATCTACACAGTTTCTCCGTAATTTCAATCCTGTACGGTTATATTTTTAAACTGTGGTTCACTAGTTGCATATCATACACAATTGGAAATTACTGGTATTATATGAATATTAGATTAATGCATGAAAAATAACCTAAATATAACAATTTCCTCTAGTGTTTAGATAAGCAATATTGCTTTAAATGTCAATTGCTGTCTTTTAATGTTAGTTTTGTAAATATATTTATAATCAAATTGTAATGTAGTAGTCATCGGTTACTATAGTGATATCATCAGTACATCTTTGTACGTATGTACATATTAGATATTCATATGTGGATTGCTGGTGCAGTACACACTTATTCTACATAAATGCAATGTACAACAGCAGTACGATTAATAAATATTTGATTGTGTTTGAAGAACTCGTCACAAGTTTACTATTCTGATAATACATTTGTCAAGAAACATTTCTTTGACTTTTGAGAAAATAGTATAATCAATTTTTTTGGTCAGTCAGCCTCGGTCTCCTGCTTACAGGAGGCTTACATCTAAATTCAATCCTTGCGTCTTTGAAATAGGCCTAGATAAGCCTCAAATATTCCCACTAACTTTTCAGTTCCTTTAGTTTACTATATTTGATAGATTTGAAATTTTTGTTTATTTTTCAATCATAATATTGAAGTCTATGTTCAGGTTCTAATTTAACTTGTTACAAATGTCATGTTTTCAATACACAGGTGCACGCTGTAGTGCTAGGTTTTCAATTACCACTTGCCAACTCACATGTATACCAGACTGTTCCTCAGCTCTGGTTAGTACAAATAAAACATCATTTTCTTTAATAGCAAGCTGCAATTCTGAGCTGCTAGATGCTTTCTTAACTGCAGGACTGAAAAAAGGTCATCACTATGTTAATAAGATTATCTATACTGCATCATCTTAAATTATCTTAGGTAGGTAATAACTAGACCTAAAAAAAATTTGTTTGTTTGCTGTCACATTTTAAAATTTGAATACAGGGGCAGATGGAAAAAAGGTTTTTTTTGTTTTTTTTCGAAACATCATGAAAACTGTGCAATTGTAATTTTTTTAACGGAAAAACGATCATATTTTTGTTTAAAGACAAATTTAAAATAGTTAAAATTTCCATATAACATGGATCTGTGCCAAAATTGACGAAAAAGTGGTTTTCATTTCATCTTTTAAACTTAAAAAACAACTTTCTTGGGAAAAAAAAAACCAGCCCCTAATTTTCGGGATTTTAGGCGCGGTTTAGTACACAGTGCAGTAGTTTTGACTACTTCTCTGTGTGTATACAACATTTTATCGTGTCTATTTTTAAATAGTACCCATAAATTTTCACTGAGGGAACTCCAGTGGCTGAGCCTAAGCAAATTTCATTTTTCCAGACACATATCTTCTTTTGAGTACATGGACAACCAAAAACACTGCAGGTTTTATGCACCCCTGTCATTTTTTAGCTTAGGCATTTTGTTTTCAAGACTAGCCTAGGCCTATCGGAAATTTTCATTTCAAATTCTGTAAAGATGGTGTATATAATATAAGGTACAATGAATGAAACGAAAGTAGTATAGATAAATATATTAGCTTCTTTAAGATAAAGCTTTGTTTCATTTGGGATGCTAATACACAAATAAAACAAGTACATAAAAATAATGTTCCATTACCCATCAGCCCTTTTCGCAAATGTCACAATCTCATCTACAGTCCGTGGCCCACTGAATGTATGTGCTACACCATTTCTAAAACTGTTGATACAAAAAGAGGCATAATATTTTTTCTTAATTATTAGTTATAAAACATTCATAGCTTACAGCCTGGTTCTAAAGCCGGGCACTCACTGCATCATACAACAGTCGTTTTGTTCTGTCCTTTTGCTGCGAACTGCACTGCTGCTCCCACAGTGCTGTATTGTTTCGTCCTTTGATTGCATGGTGCAGGCATAGAAATATTACACATGGAAGACTGAAAGACATCATGACTTCCACTGGAATGGAAATCATGATGACATTCACATTAACAATACAATACAAGACTGTAAAAATGCCAATCTAGATATTATTTGTCTACAAGAAACTTAAAAAAATAGCAATTGGTCCGATGTAATCAAGGATATGACATTTATTGGTGTGGATCTACATACTCACATATTTATGGAGTTGGCATTGCAATCAAAAAATGATTAAATGTCACCGTTGATGGAATTATAATTTCAAATTGTCTCATGGCAGCTGACGTCAATATTAAAGGGTACAAAAGAGTTGTATCCGCATATGCCCCAACAGAGGATAAAACACACTTACGATAAAACATTCCTTCTACAAGGGACTCGGCTAATTATGTGGCATTGAAAAGAACCAAAAGGTTTTTAATTCAAGGACATTAATGCAGATATCCTTGCTTTGACGGGCAACTCAGCAAAATGGATGCTGAAGAAACAACCAACGAAAATGTAGGTTTGCTAAATCGAATTCTGTAATAAGGGTCTGTTGGTGCTTAATACAGTTTGACCACCTGCTCCAACATTGGATTACATGGCATCATCCAGATGGAAAAACAAAGAAAATCTTCAGTCTGTCGTGCTCACTGCTGAGGCAGTATGTAAAAGATGTCAGGGTAAGAAATTCCCATTTTAATTCTGACCACAATAGTAACAAAATTGACAACTCCATCCAATAAATGCTGCTACTGTAGGTCCAACAGAACCAAACCATCCAGAAAACCTGATATCAACGCATTGGTTAATCCATTCTGTTCTTGTATCTGCCCTTCAAGTTTTAGAAACATCCATCTTAAGCACTCGAGTAATCAGTCTTGATATCACACAAGTGCCTAACAACATCCCTTCAAGCAGCAAGAAAAACACTTCCTAGAGCAACTATAAAAAGAAAGTTTCCCTTGGGAACATAATAACAAATATAAGCAATTAAAAGCAAATCAACATAAACTCTGTCAAGCAATTCAATCAGAATTCAAAAGAGACAAACTCAAACAAGTAAATGAAGAGATAAGGATTAAGATCAATCAAATTTAGAACACATACTTCACAAGGAAAGGTAATGAAATTAACAAAGCCAAACAATACAAGTTGTTACTCTTTAGCCCCTTTCAGACAGAAAATACCGCAATAATACCCTAATTACGCCGCCGTTATTGCCGGCGCAGACCCTTTCACACAGCTAGTTAAAACACGGTAATAATACCGTATCCTGTCTGAAAGGGTTCTCGCGAATGGAGTATTTGATGTCTGTGGCGCTTGTGCTTGTTAACAAAGAGGGCAAAAGTTTTTGTTTACTCCATTAATCCAATATGGCCGTGGATGAAGTGATAAAACTGCTGCTTTGCAAATGTTTTTTAATGCTTGCTATGTTTTCTAATACATATAAATTGAGAAACAGAAGGTTTCTAATGCGTTTCGTTCAAGGGAAGAAAGAATTTAGGAAGCGTTTAAGGCGAGGCCGACTTGAATTTCGAGCAGCTAGGTGCAGCCGATTTTCGCGTCTAAAAGAACCGTCAGCTAGCGATTTCATCAGCTTTGTTAGCTGCAGCAGCGGTTGATGGCTGCTCGCGTGACCGTCTGATTTGTTATGCCTCAGTGGGTAAGACGGCGATGAACCCTGTACCCTTTCACATTTAGTTGGGCAAAACTCGCTACGGTATTAATGCGGTTTTGCAGGTCTGTCTGAAAAGGGTATTTCTCAAATAACAAAGACACACGATCACATCCTGACAAAGAAATCTAATCATACAGAATGTCCAGGCTTATCATTACACTTTAAATCCCACTTCAATCCAGATCATTCAGACCTTACTATACCTACAGATATTCTACATCAACCAACACGCATCACTGAATTAAGAAATCAGTGCATTGAAATTAATAACTTCGCCTTCCACCTTAGAAATGGACAAGGCTGTACAACACCATGCATCTTGGATAGAGTTGTCACCTTATGCAGACTATTAAAATCTCAATTCATTAGAGGGACATTTCAAAAAGAGAAATATATACAAAAGTTCACTTTAAAACTAACAACATACTGTAATATCCTTCCTTGATTTAAAGTTAGACAAATAATATACTAGCATTAATTGCTAGTCACTGATTACCAATTAGTTATAACTCAAGGAGTGGTTAAATAAAATAATGATAAAAAATAATAGTAAGCAAGTAAAAGTGTATAAATTTAAGATGGTCAGTGTGTCTAGTCCAGTATTAAAATGAATAAAATATTGTCAAGGAATCAAATATAAATTTTATAGACATTTTGCAGCAACAGCTTTATAAATATTCAAAACGGTTTTCAAAAGATGATAAACATGACAATAAGATGTTGTGTGTATAGGACATCATGCAAGACACGTCTTGTGATTGGATGTGCTAAAACGTTCAATTTTGATACAATATACAGGTCACGGTAGCAGTCTGAGAATAAATCCAAGTGTTCTAGAGGCCTTGAATTTATTGTTAGAAATATGCAATCCAATCAAGTTTTGAGGTAAAAGTTACACTAAGATATATATAACTGGTTATTACATTTGTAAGGATAGTTTTTCCAAGTTGGACGAGTTATCAAGTCTATTTGTCCTGGTGACATTGTTTTGTATTTAGTAGTATTAAGTTCCATCAGGCTCATCAACCGCTAGTTATAAGTACTGTATATGAAGGTCTTGCTGAGTATTACGTTATAATTGGTATTTCTTTAACATTATAAAAAAACAAAACTTGCACCCCAGGTTCTCCTACCCTACCACTAACAATTTCCAAGCACAAAAAAAATTCACTCATGTACTAATACTTAAAAACAATACCAACGCCAGAAGTTTTCAAAGCAGTGTTTTCAACAGAATGACATACCCACAAACCTACTCGTAGATGGATGTGTTTCTATTAACAGAAAAACATTTTCTGTAAGTGGCCCTCAAAAAACAAGTTTTCGTAATCTCGAAAGTGTGTTGCTTAGTATGAAAGTGTAGGACAGAACCACAGAGGCCATAATTGTGCACCTTTTTCAACATTAAAGAGCGACTAATCCTGTCAAAAGCGTTGTTCCAATCTAAAAATATTACATCGATGGGAGGATGATTACGCTCATCTAGCACTTTTGCCCACTCATAATTTGCAGTGGCTAACAAGGTTCAGCAAGATCTACCATTAACAAATCCATATTGAAATGGGGATAACAGGGGCGGATACAGATGTCCAAAAGAGGGGGCCGAAAGTTGGGCCGATCGAGACAACATTGTCCTAGGGGGTCCGGGGGCATGCCACCAAGAAATTTTTGTGTGCTAGAAGCCTGAAAATAATATTTGAGATGTCTGGGCTCTCATTTTTTTCTTTTTTTCTTTTTTTTTTCTTTTTTTTACCTCCGAAAAAGGGGGAAAAGGAGCCGTAAATCTGCCCCTGGATAAGCTTATGATCATTGTTAATGGACAAGTAATTGTCCATAATTATAATGTCAGTTGACTACAAGAATCCAGGGAGCGAGAGATCATGAACAGTTTGAATGAGTTGATTGAAACAAGAATGGCCAGGTCGAAAACCATGTTGATAGTCAGTGTGGAGTGTTAAACTAAATGAATCATGATATTTTTGCTCTGAAACTTTGCAGCAAATGGAAGTCAGTGAGATATGTTGGCAGGATTGGTTCTGTCTCCAATCTTGACCAAAGATGAAATATTTAGTAGGATCCATGCTTTTGGAAGGGAAGAATCCTATAAAAAGAGTTGGTAAATAATAGATCGAATTGATGCAATTTCGGAAACACATTCTTTAAGAATAAGAGACCTCATCAGGCCAGCCCGGTCATGTGATACTGTTCATCTCAGGAAAATCTGGTAGGTCGAGTTTAGGCATATTAATATCACGCTCATGGATAATGAAAGATTTATACTGCATATTTAGGATATTTGCTTTCTTCCGGTTGTTAATTATTAAAAGTCCATTTTTATCTTTTAATGTTTGGAGGCAGAAAGTAATAAGAATGGTAATAATAATCACTGTAATATACTTAATAGTGTAAAAAAAAAACTATAGTTAATGTTATTCTGAATAAAGAAAAATATTTATTTTTTAAACTGTAACCCCATATATTGTAACCCAACTTTCAAATTGATATGCTAATTTTGCAACAGTATAGTAATAAATATAACAATAAGCCACTTGCACTGTACATGTTTGTGGAAATAAATGTTAATATCCTGATCTAATTAATTAGGCTTATTTATAGAAACTTTCATATCAAATTCATAAAGTTTATGGTGAATTAATAAATCCCACTAAGGCTGATTACAACCTGTTTGAATTATATATCAACAAGTCATGGGTGAATACATAAGACTACAAGAAATAAACATACTGTAGATGATCTATTACTATATATAATATACATACATCATGTATATATTCTCCATAAGCCATACAAAACAATATAAGACTACATAAAATACTCATAAACATACTGTAGATGAACCTATTATGACTGTCATAGATAGTTGTCTTCTCAGCTAATTGTATTATGAATTAAAATTATTTTCTGATATCTTTAATTAGAGAAATTGTAAAATGTGGAATACTCTACACTAGTGCAGTGGTAGTAGATTCAGAAACTGTAAACGATGCATTTAAGTTAGCCAAATTTTTTGTAGGCAGATCCTCAAATGTATTGTTTGGCATGATACAATGCAGTTAGACTGCACCACACCGCCTACAGTGGGGGTTGTGGCACCAGTAATGCCCCTGCTCTGTCTACTACAGCTAAAAAAAAAGTAGCAGAACGTAAGGAATGTGGGCTGATCTTGCTTGTCTGCAGTTTACTTTTGTACTTGTATAACACCACAAACAATGGATCTATAGACTGATATTGAGTTTTATTCAAAAAATTTAGTTTAGTAAAGATTATCCTTTGTTTCCAGCATCATGTGACAATACAACTACGCCTACAAAAGTAGGATACAATATCGAGCTAGATGTTTTTATCTGAACTAAACAGACTAATTACATGTGAATTTTTAATTAATGGGGAAAAAGCAAAAAAATATATGGTCTATGGTCGTTCTTGATAAGTTAAAAATCAACATATGTAATAGATAAATAAATGAGTGATGGGTGACTTCTACGGAAGACAAAAAATAGAGGAAAATAATAAAAAAAAATAATAATAATAATAAAGAATACAATAGTGGATAGGTCTGAACACTTATTATGAAGAACAGAAAGAGAGGTGTACTAAGTAATTATATAACAGACATTATGCTGAAATAAAAGTGGGACGATCTCACAAAAGAAAAAAAAAACAAAAAAACAATCAAGCTAGATACTACATACTAGTACTACTGTATACATAAAATAACTTAGCCTTAATATTAATTTTTTCCTAATTGCGAAAAAATAGGAATAACTGACATTCTTAAAACCTAATTAAACATCAAGAAAGTAGTTTAGTAGCCGTAATAGTCTGTATATACAAATGAAAAAAAAAAAATTAAACATCAACACTAAAAACTATTTTGTGTACCATTTTTCAGTTTGTAAAAAATTTATAAACTCACATACGCAATTACACTTTATACATTACAGTCCCCATTACAGTTCTGAAACATACCGAAATATTGTTCCAATATTTTGACAGGTTTTATAGAAATCAAGTTTTAGTCATTAATCTTAATCTGTAATTCAACAATATTAAGCATTTTATATACAGTACTTACAATTTGATAGTAGGAAATCCTCTAACATTAAAATGATCCATTGCTCCTGAGGAAAACAAAGAATACTGTATTAAAAATTTAATTTATTCTAAAGAGTAATATTAATATATTTTTTTTAATTTATATGTTAATGCTGTTATCCTCATCCAATAGTCTTTAGCGTAATATAAACGTATATTTTTTAAAATTTGTATATTAATGCTGTTATCCTTCCTAAAAGCAACACCTTACCCAAACGCTAAAACTCACAACAATAACGATCTTTACTTAATTTGTGATTATATTCACTTACTAGTACTTTTTGTACCATCAATGACAGCAACTCTGATTTTGGAATTGGTTACTGCAAAGGTTTGCCCAACCGTTGTCCACGTTGGTTTCAGCTGTTTACAGTGTCCACACCAGGGTGCATAAAACTTGATGAATTAACAATACATGCAAGATTTTAAAAATATCCAAATATACATGTCAATGAAACTTGCATCGCCATTCTTATTTGAAATATTTGCAAATATACTGTACAATAACAATATACAATATATAACAATATACTGTATAACAACTTACAAATTAGGGTGTAGGTTGTATGGTATAGATTAGAATCCTATGAAAACACACTAAACTGGAAATCCCCCATGGTAAATGGTCAAAATTGACAAGATTGTATTTATACGATGTACAGTACACATACACTAGTCCTATACCAATGTCCATTCTTGGTATTGAGAGTAAAAATATTCCGGTTTACTGCTCAAAAGGTGTCAAACTATAAATTTGAATGCATTTTTTAAAATGTTTTTGTGAGTTTTTTTAACATGTTAAACAGAAGTTTGAATTCCATAGTTAACTCCAAATATTTAAAGCATTCATTTTGAAAAGAAGACCCTCACAAAACCCTCTTTAGTTTGCAAATGTAATTTTGAAAAAACAAAAAACTATCTTGAAAAGTAGCCCATCTTGAAAAGGATCTTATCCAAGTGCCTAAAAAATTTGAGGTTTTACAGTGTAATAAACTATTTAAATCTTATTAAATTCTCCTCGGATTTGGTCATTATTACCGAAGGCCTCAAGGTGATTAATTTTTAATTTAATTCTAATTTCCCACTAAAAGCTTTTTCACTCAAAAAAAAAAACTCTATGCAGACCAATTAGTAACCACCCACTGTGCTGTAATGGTTGATGAGTGTACAGCATTTCTAAAATAACTGATTCCTAACCCAAACTAACAACAAAGCATACCAAGAGGTGATTTTATATATAAAGCGAGGTTCGACAGAAGCTTTGATTAGACATTTTATCACTACTTAGTTTCGTACCACACAAATGGTGTGACACTCTTCAGATAAAATTGCCTAATGACTAAAAAACATAGAAATACAATTGATTGAGATTAGCTGAGCATGCGCAGAAAGCCAGAGGGGTAATTCAAAGGGTTCAGTTAGGCTGTGTTCACACACACGGCGTAAGACTGGCGTGGCTTACGCCAGGCGTAAGCTAGTCCATGGATTAAAATTCCAAAGTGTTCACACAAACGGCGTTCGTTAAACTAGCAGTAATATAGGCCTATGTGGAATGGAATAGTTTTCAGTTTTAAATAATGTACGGTACGTGTTAACAGTAGTAAAATTAACAGTGCATCATGAAAACTTTTAAATCTGTGAATTGTTCGAATTGAACTTATATGATTATTGTATTTTAAATGAACAATTTTACTTTTGATTTTTGAGCTAGCATTGTAAATGTTGCATGTTTTAATAGATCTACAGTCTAAATGGTTAAAATATCTTACAAAACACAATCAATAAATTATATACATTATAACTATAGTAAAATGCAATAGAAAAGGAACCCCTTTACCATTTCATTTATAGAGAGCACAGAAAAGAGACCAAAGTAGCTAATATATTGTAATCGTGATTGGTCAATCTCTTGAAATGAGGTCAAATCATTCAAGCATCACTGGCGTTAGCTCAGTGGCGTTAGCTAATCTGGGATCTGCAGGTAGCGTTAATAACGCCAAGGACGTGGCGTAGTGAGTGGCTTTAACAACGCCACTGCCTAGTTCACACACAAAGGCGTATGCTACGCCAGGCTTAAGCCAGCCTTACGCCGTGTGTGTGAACATAGCCTTAGTTGGGTCTGATTCAAGGTTTGATAAACAATGAAAGGGATTAAAGTGATAAACATAAGTTAAGTAGCAACATTACATGGGAAAGATTTTTGCATGCTAGGAGGGGGTTAAAATGAAATTAAGTTACAAAATTTCTTAGAAGAAATTTGTTGGCATGCCTGCATGCTGAAACGAGTTCATTACGAATATTTAGTGTAGCTATTTCAGGTTTGCAAATTATAAAATATTTTTCCCATATGCACATGTTGCATCTTTTTGATGATGGGTTATATGGTTTAGTTTGTTTGAGAATGTTCCATTTAATATTGTCCATATTTTTTTCTTTTAGTTCCCATATGTACTTGCTTAGTTCTGTGTTAAGTCTCTTGGATTTGTTCCTGAAGGAGGCTTTGTGGTTATTGTATCTTGTTTTAAATGCGTTTTCTGTGAGGCCTACATACGTATGTTTGGTTTGGTTTTTTATTAGTTTGTAACCTTTGCCTGATAGATAACACATTCTTTGAGGCAGTGGCTGGTTGCAGACATAGGGCATTCTTCGGGCATCCTGCAGTTGCATCCTTTGTTGGTTGGCTGATTGTTTTCTTGTTTATGGTTTTGTTGTTGTAACTATCAATGGTCTGTTTGAGGTTTCCAGTGCAACTGAAACTAATTTTGACAGTGTTCTGATTAAACAATTTATGTAGTGTGTGATTTTGTGGGAATGCTTGATGTAAAGCCTCGAGGAAAGTTTTCCCGACATTGGTGGCAACACTTGTGCTTACGGTGGGTTCTACCAAATTATGTTACCTTTGCAGGATTGGCTGTGCTTCTCGTTTTTGGGTTCTTGCGGTGGTGAAATTTTGAGCTTATAATCGTATCTGCTTTTATTTAGGGCCTATTGGTAAAGTGGTGCTGCATCATATATATATGTACATATACATATACGGTGGGTTCTACCAAATTATGTTACGAGTGTTCCCACCGTAAGCATGAGTGTTCCCACCAATGTGGGAAAGCTGCTATCCAATTACTGATAATATTACTTACACCAAGAGTATTTTTGGTAATCAAGACATTGTGATCCACTAGGTCGAAAGCCTTTTTATAGTCTAACAACAAAACTCTAGTTTCATCCCCTTTGTCAGCGGCATCAAACCAATTTGTCAATATAAAGAGACCAACGCATCGAGAGTGGATAATCCTTTAGTACATCCAAACTGGTTTAGATGAATCTTATCACTAATTTCATCCAAAAGCATTTCTCCAATTAGACCCTCAACCAGCTTTCCACTAACAGAGGTCAGAGATTTCGGTCTTAGCACATTTCCAATCAGTTGGTACGACGGATGTAGACTAGTGTTTGCAATAGCACATAAGGGTTTGGCTAAAACCTCTGCAAACTCCTTTAAAATCCAGGATGGTTATCATCGGGGCCTGGGGATTTATTTACTTTAACCGTTTGCAGTTTCTTATATACAACTTCAAGGGTGATTATGAATTTGTCAGGCACAGGTTTGGGATTCATCTTCGTGGGATAAGCGAGTGGTTCAAAATTTGAATTGGTGAGAGGAGGCACACGTGGCCTCATTATAAGCTTTATGATCGAATATGGGGAAACAGTAAATTACAGTAAAAGACATTTACTGTAGTTCGAATTTAGCGCAATTTTCAATAACACTAAAGGACGCCATCAGTCAGTGATTTAAAATTTTGCAATAACGATCAAAATCTCCAAAACGGCTCTCCGACTGTCTCATCGTGCGTGATCCACTCATACAGAAAGGCATTATATTACTGCAAATGTACCGCAATCTGGTTGGTATCAATGGTTTATGGCAGCAAGTGTAACTATACTATTAACACAATATTGCCGGAAAGTCTGTCTGAAAGCGGCTTTTTAGAGGTAACCTAGTGCCATCAAAGAAACTCATGAAAGCATACATCTATTTTTCTTTGAGAAGACCTGCCTAAATAGTAGGCCTGTTCGTTCAATGCACAGAACTGCTGACTAAACTGCACAGCCATTATGCATATTTCTTGGTTTTTCTTCATTCTCCAACGTTCAATGTCTAGCAGGTCTACAATTACTGTACCTACTTCTTCTTTGCCTACCTGGGCCATTCAAAATTATTTTAATATGAATACACAGAAAGTAATAATACAAAGAACTTATCTAGAACCACCCCGATCCTACGCACTACTCTGGCCTGTTGCTAAACTTGGATAGAGCAATGTACCTGGCAAGTCATTACAAATTTAGTTCATAATTTCAAAAATGGGATATTATGTACCTGATTATGCTACAGTAAATCAATTCTATAAAATCAGTAGTAGAGATTATACTCACTGATACAAGCCAACTTCCTTCCTTACTTAACTCAATAAACCTGTCATTTTAAAAAAGTAGAAAATTGCATGTGAAATAAATATTACAACATTTTTTTGAGATAGGCCAAAAAAGATTAATTCTTTGTCTCACATCACTTCTGACTTCAAAAATTCAATGCGGAATGGAGCATTTTTTTTTTTTTTTTTTGTTTCACATCACTTCTGGCTTCAAAAATTCAATGCGGAATGTTTTTCCTACAGCTCAATGCTGAAGCAGATAATCCCAACAGTATAAAATAATGGACAATTTTGTTTTTTACTAACTTGTCACATTTGATTGTATATCTCTACTGTTGAATGGTTCCAAACTCTAAGAATCATCATCATCTTTCGTTACTGTGCATAACCTTAGTTGAATCTCACACAATGTGTTGTGACAACTGCACTGACCGGATCGGATGAATTTAGTTTTGTTTAAATAATTAATCCTGTTTATTCTGGTTTTAAATATTTGAATTGTAGCAACTACATCTTTTGGTAATGAATTCCATATACGTATGGTGTCTGGGAAGAACGAATCATTAAGTACGCTAGTGCATGCAGCTGGAACCATAAATTTCTGGAGGTGACCCCTTATAGCTTTGTAGCTTGGAACACTATGATACTCCAGAATTTCAACAAGGTTGTTTGTGATGCATTACATCATTGTTGCTTTTGCCGCCTTTCTACGACGTTGAAGTGACTTCCATTCAAGATTGGAGAGCAAGGTTGTAACGCTGCTTCTAAAGGAATAGTCATTCAGGACGTACCTGGCTGCACTGCGTTGGATCGATTGAATCTTATTGATGCCCTTTTGTGTTGAGGGAATCTGACACACAACCCGGCCCGTCGTGATCGCTAGGCATGCAGCGCCACGTTGTATGGTGACAAAACAATCCAAAATACATAGCGAGACGGTTGACCAGACACATCATGGCTTGCCATGTTGTTGTGATTGTGATTTGAGTTTCTATATATAATTGTGATGCCAGCAAGATGCTGCTTGCATCATTGAAATTTATTGATAGACTCGCATAACAATCGTTATTTTTTTAACTGTTTTTAATTGGAAAATTTGAAAATTCAATGCTCGAATTTCAACAATAATTTTTCAACACACTGTGATGTGCGACGAAGAATTAATTTTGTTAGGCCTTATAACATTTCCCAACTGGTGTTATCTTAATTGAAATATATTCTGTTTCATATAGTATGAGTAATGTAGGCTTAATATGACAAAAGCAACAACGCATTACACACTAGTGCTGAAGCATGATTATGTTGTTCTTATTACAATTCACCTTTTACGCTTGGTTACTTTAGGGTACTGACGTCATTGGATACCAAATAGTGACGCTGTACTGTAAATTACCGTAAATCATGGTGAGACTTCACTTGCTAAGTAATTTATTTAAGAATATTATTTATAATAAACTAATTCAAAAATATGTATAATATATCGGCACTTTTTTTTTTGGGCGGACAAAACTGTAAAACTGTCTTGCTCATCACCCAATCCTAGTACAGGACTGAAAGTTGATTCTCCACCTCCAAATGCTGATGAAAGTAAACCTAATTTTTCCATGGACAATATATTCCCTGTGCAGACCATACTTTACAGTCTTGTCCATACAGTATATCTCTAACCTAATATTAATATATATACCTAATTAAAAAAAATTAAAAAAACTGTAAAACTGTCTTACTCATCACCCAATCTTAGTACAGGATTGAAAGTTGATTCTCCACCTCCAAAGGCTGATGGAAGTAAACAAAATGCTGAGGAAGAGAGAAAATAAGAAAAAGCAATAATACCAAGGAATATTTATCGTCAATTATACAACATGGAAACAATAGGTTAAATACGCATACATGTAGGCCTAGAATAGGCGTTAAAAAGTTCAATTTTTTTTACTGTGGACACGTTCGAATATGCATGTATTACTAATTTATCTAAATCATTTCGCATTATCGCTATACAGTATATTGTCCTCCACCCAGTCAAAAGAACGGTTTCACAACGGCCAAATTTTTGGAAGAATTTGATAACTTCTTATCTGAAATTGCAAATTTGTCCGGGAAGCCTTTTATTTTGGGTGATATGAATCTTCATGTCAACGATCCTTTGAAGCGTGAAGTTTCGCACTATCTGACACTGCTTTATGAACACGATCTTAAGCAATTTGTTGATATCCCAACACAAAAGTCGGGTCACATACTTGATCATGTGATTTGTCGTGTAGAAGACGATCTGCTGGTTACATGTAATGTCTCCCCAAATAGGTACAACACAGATCATCATACGATAGAATGTATTATCGACAATTCAAAGCCACTGCCAGAAAGAAAATTAATCACTATGAGAAAGTTCAGTGATCTTCACCTTGATGTTTTTAAAAGTCTTATTAACTTAAGAACTTTGCAATCTTATCACATACAACAACCCTAACAAACAAGCCACTGAGTATAACGCGAGAATGCGAAAACTTGCTAACAAACAGTGTCCGGATATGACTCGCTCTCAGAGAACCATAAGATGTCCTAAGTGGTTTGATGATAAGCCGCTAGAAGGAATCGTCGGAAATTGGTTCAGTTCATATCTTTGTGAACGCAGCAGCTGAATATGTGTATCAGGCAGTAATGTCTATCCAATTAAATATGGTGTTCCTCAGTGATCAGTTGCAAGTATGCCAATTTTCAATGCCTATTCAAAGCCAGTAACTGATGATATTTTTAAGCGCTTTGGTGTTTTGTATCATATTATGCTGACGACACACAATTGTACATTAGTTATGACCCAAAAGTAGCCGATAGGGTAGCTGCGCAATTTCGCTTAACAAAATGCATCACTGTAGTGAAATTGTGGATGCTGGAAAATAAGTTAAAGCTAAATGAAACAAAGACTAAATTCTTTCTAATCTCACCTCAAAGGCAACTGAGTTCCATTCAACGTTTTAGTTTTCTAATTGGCGAATCTGCATTGTTCCCTCATCATCAGAGGAGCCTTGGGGTAATTTTTGATCCTTGTTTTAAGATGGATTTACAGGTATCATCTATTCCTCGCACAGTTAACTAGTATTTACATAATATTAAGCACCCTTCATTGATCAGAGTACTTGCTCCAATGCAGTACTGTACGATCTTTGATTCTTTCTCGGTTGGATTACTGGCGGTATTTCGCGCTCCAATGTACAGCAACTTCAAAAACTTCAAAATCGTGCCGAGAGACTGGTTTTTTTGCGTTGATAGGCACAGAAGAACCTCATGGCCGGCGGAACCGGGGGGCCCCCCCCCCCTTTTTGGCAAAAAATATATGTCTGGAGATTTTTGTATGATCGGAAATTCAAGAAAAGAAGGAGGGAAGAAGGAGGAGAAGGATGGGAAAGAGAATGTTTATCCAGTACCCGACCAAGTTACATTTTCTCGCAATTCAAGAAAAGGAGGGAAGAAGGAGGAGAAGGATGGGAAAGAGAATGTTTACCCAGTACCCGAGTTACAATTTCTCGCAATTCACATTGGCGGATCTGGTGGAGGGGGATCATTGGTCCTGACCCCTTCCTTGGGCAACAAAAAAAAGGGGGGAAAAGAAAAAGAATTCTAGACCTACCTTTTCAGGACCCATGGGGGTGGGGGGCACCTTGAATTTTGAAGAAATTAAAAGTCATTAAAAGACACCTCAGAAGTCGGGAAAGCTCATTTCCCGCCACCTAAGAATCAAAATTTTTCCGTGGAAGGAACCACAGGACGGACCCCCCCCCCCTTTCTTTTTGGGATTTATCGATTCATGGAAAAAAATATGTATGCAACTTAATCTTTTTTTATGTTTGTATATACATATAAGGCCTATATACTGTAACAACAATGGTAAAAAATTACCTGACCATTTTCAAGAGGGAAAAACCTAGAATTTTGAAGAACTTAAAAGTAATTAAAAGACACCTCAGAAGTCGGGAAAGCTCATTTCCCGTCTTCTAGGAATCAAAATTTTCATGGGGCTGAACCCCCAGACCCCCCCTTTTTTTTTGGGATTTATCGATTCATGGAAAAAAAAATCGTATGCAACTACTCAATTTTTTTTTTTTTGTATGTGACACAGAAGGCCTATCTACTGTAATAACAATGGGAACAATTTACCTGACCGTTTTCAAGAGGGGAAAACCTTGAATTTTGAAGAACTTAAATTAAAGTCGCTAAAAGATACTTCAGAAGTCGGGAAAGCTCATTTCTCACTATTTAGAAATCAACATTTTCTTGGGAAGAACTTGAACCTCCCTTTTCTCTTTGGGTTCATTGATTCATTATAATAATTTTCAAGAGGGGAAAACCTTGAATTTTGAAGAACTTAAAAGTGATTAAAAGACACCTCAGAAGTCGAGAAAACTCATTTCCCACCTTCTAGGAATCAAAATTTTCCTGGACCCCCCTCTCTTTTTGGGATTCATCGATTCATGGAAAATTAGTATGCAACTACTCATTTTTTTTTAAATTTTATGTACTGTATGTATACACACATAAGGCCTATTTACTGTAATAACAATGAGAAAAAATTACCTGACCCTTTTCAAGAGGGGAAAACCTTGAATTTTGAAGAACTTACATGTAAAAGTAATTAAGACACCTCAGGAGTCGGGAAAAAGCTCATTTTCCACCATCTAGGAATCCCCCTATTCTTTGGAGCTTATAGATTCATTGAAAAAAGAATACAAATGCAACTACTCACTTTTTTTACATGTATGTACACACATAACAGGCCTATTTACTGTAATGAGAAAATTCACCTTACCGTTTTCAAGAGGGGGAAAACCTTGAATTTTGAAGAACAAAGTCATTAGACACCTAGCTCAAAAGTCAAGAAAGGTCATTTCTTGCCATCTAGAAATCAAAATTTTCCCAGGGGAGGAATGTTGACCCCACCACCTAGGTTTGATTCCAGATCTGCATGATTCATATTCCCATTCATCTTATAAGTGGCGCCCCCCCCCCCACCACTTTGAAAAACGTTCCGCCGGCCCTGAACCTTGCCATTGCTACGAGAACTTCACTGGTTGCCAGTCCAGCAGAGAATAGACTTTAAGATCTTACTGCATGTGTACAATGGTGTTCATAAAATAGGTCCAACATTCAAGATATTCCTTAAAAGTTTCAGCCTGGTCGTGTAGGTCTTAGGTCCTCTGATGATCTCCTACGCCTTGTAGTTCCAATTACAAAAAGAGTTTTTGGTGAAAGTGCTTTTTCTGTGATTGGTCCAAAAATTATGGAATAATCTCCCCTATGAGATCTGCCAGGCCCCCATTGTGCAATCTTTTGAAAAATTTTTTAAAACACACCTTTTCCTAGAGAGTAGTTTTTTTAATGGTTTTCATCTATCTATACTTGACTGATTCATAATTTTATTACACACTTGTGTTTTACTGTCGCTATTTTTATTTTTTATATCGGGGCAATTTCATGGTAGCGGAATCACAATTTTGCTGAACTTTTTAACTTTAATCTAATGTCATATTTATACTCCATTCTAATTCTTGGAATAATTATCATATTTACATAACTATGGAATCCATCTATAATTTCCACCCTAGGTCTGGTAGCGGAATCACAGTAGCGGAATGACCATTGATAAAAGTGCATTTGAAATTAATATTTATGAAGAACCTTCTTGACTAAATGTAAAATCTTTCACTTTTTATGAAAACAATGCTGAAGCAATTCACTTGGTATTTGAAACAAAATTTATTTTACTTTATCAAGTCTCAAACACAATTATAAAAATTATGAAAATTAATAAAAATATTGGATTGTTTATACTGTAATTACCAAAACGCTAACTAGCTTTCTGTAGGAAATTTTATTGAATTCCGGTATCGTGATTTGTACTTGCCATTTTTTTATTAATTGATTTTTTATTGTAAAAAGTGGGTTTAAATAATGTACAGCACTTTGAACTTTGGAATTTTTATTGAATGTTGTAATTTGTCTTGTCCATTTTTATTGATTGATTTGAAATATTGTACTTACTTTTATCTTTGTAATTATGTGTTTTGATGTACAGTGCTTTGATTTTTTTTTTGTAAAGGTGCTATATAAACACTTTTTAATAATAACAATAATAATAATAACAATAATAATAATAATAATAATAACAATAAGAAATATTTCCTACAAAAAAACGCCACTTCATCTTTACCTTTATCTTATGTGTGAATTTTGTTATGTTACTTTTAGGTAAGGGTATAGCATGTAACAAGGTATTTTAATATTATTACTAGAAATTGCAAATTGCAAGTGAAGTGCTGCGAAGTACAACTGCATATAAATGTTCTTCGAACAAAATTATTTATGTGAGTCAAGTGAAAATAATGAGTAATAAAAATATAACAAATAATATGAGACACGACTCATTGTCTATATTAGAACACTTCTCATTGGGTAACAAAGTCGTAATTTTTCATTTCTGTCAAAAAGTGTCTATAGTAGTGAATTATGGTTTACGTTTTTTTAATAAAGTTTCAAAAGTTTGTATGTATGTGGAAAATGTAGTTGATTACCAAAGGTTACAATTTTTATTTTGAAGACTGCATGGTCTAGGAAGTGTACATTTTTTTATGGGGCAATTTTCTAAGGGCGGGTTTACTAGGGGCGAGTTGACTGCCAAAGAGTGTTACCAAAGTGCAAGCCAGTGTGTTATTTGATCACAAGTGCGATACATCGCAAGTGTGAGCCAGCGAGCCATGATGTCACGACAATAGATACGAGACATTACTCGAGTTGTGCGAGGTATCGGCTGAGATTTGTGGAGTACAATTCAAAAAACAACTATAGGTCTAATAATGAATTATTGTGATGTTAAATAGACAATGTTAGCGATCAAGGAGCAACGTTGTTTTTCATTGGGACCTTCGTCCCATTAAGGCTAGGCCTATACCATCCTAGCTAGTCTAGGCCTAGAGTAGGATAAGGCTAGCGCAACATGCGGACGTTGGTACATGTTGGTTAGTCTACAAACGTCGCCTAAAGTAATTGATTTTACCCGGCAGAACAAAAGAAGGAAACTCTGCTTTTCAGTCGTCTTAGGCCCTTGTTTTTTGACAAACAATGACCTTCAGAGGTCAAATTGCTGTCAAGAATATGAATTGGCTGCTTCGCAGCAATAATTTCATTTCTGATAAATATCATGAAATTTAAATTACAGTATTTATAATTATGAATTTGGTTTTCATCGCCATAAATTAATTCCAAAGGGTTTAGGCTACAGTCAACAACATATCTTAATATTTTAGTTTCATTTCCGATATACCATGACATTTAAATTATCGTATTGACATGGGGGACTCCATCCTGTTAATGCTTTTTGTTTTAAGAGACTTATTTATTTGCCATGAAAATGCTGGCACCTAGGGCTGAAACAGCAGCCACTTGACAGCCTGCCAACAATGCAATTTGGGGAACACCTGCTGACTACAAGTTCAAAAACTAGAATGAAAACCACTGAGCCAAACCACATTTGTATTGTTTTTTATTGTTATTAATATTATTATTAATACTAATATTATTAAATATTTTTAATATTATTTTATCTATTTTTAATCATCCCCCTTCCCGACTAGCTTGGCTAGGCCCTTCTCTACTTATTACTGCCGTCTGTGTGTGGCTAGTTTTTACGGGTCGATACAGCATGGGTACAGTACGGTATTTCGATAATACTAATACCTCATTATTTATCTAACAGATTTGTCTCTAAAAATAATTACTGTAAGAACTAAACCAGAATTTATATTGCCAAAACAAAAAACTGACTACAAAAAGAGAAGTTTGTCATATAGAGGTGCCAAACTTTGGAATGAAATTAGCAATGATGTTAAAAATGTTAAGAAATTGTCCTTATTTAAAAAGTATATAATTGCGACATTGTTATACACTTAACCGTTATGGTAGTTTCTAACATAAACTACAGTATTTTTGTTTTGTTCGCGTTTGTTCTAGTGTAATTAAGTTAGTTTAAGATTTAAGTGTAGTTTAGGTATTTATGTTTTTAAACAATTGTTTGATTTGTTTATTTTTTGAGTCATTTTTTTTAAACCTTTTGATTTCCTAGTTAAATTGTTGTACACACGGCCAGGCGCGAGGGGCCCCGACATTGTAGTTTTAAAAAAATATAATATAAACTATCATACCATAGTTTCATTCAATGGGGCCCCGACAGTTTTAAACAATAAAAGCTGGGTTCTGATGTTTGAAATAATGCTTCTGATTTTGTGATCAATCCGCTTTGCATTGTATATAGGCCCTTTGTTAAATGTAGGCCCCATGTTTAGTTCTCACTAAAATTGGCCTATTCTCTTTATTTATTTACACCTAGAGTACATAGTCTTACTGAAGGCCTATACCAGTCCTATACCATTCTATGTTCTCTAACAACAGAGTTAACAGTTAATTTTTCAATCTCCAGCAAATTTTAAAAGCATCCAAAATCCTCCTTTTTGGAATGTAAGGAAATAGATAGTGCTTTTCCTTTGTTGGATCGATTGTAACTTTATGTATTTAGTTTTTATTTTATTTTTTTTTTAAGCGTACAGGTTTGGAAAATTTTAAAATCCTGAAGTTAAATTATTTAAAGTTTTCTTTTTATTTTCAATGAAAAATAAATGCGATCGTTAATATCGATCTTGGTACAATGTAAACCTGTAATCATATGACTACTTTTATACAGAATTTTACTATATTATAGGCCTAGTCCAAGACCTTGTTGCAAATCCAGGCTCACATAAGCCTAACCTATATAATGCCAAGCATAGGGCTCGTGATCACAGTACCCTGACCATTAAATTAGCAGACGCACTGGGAAGCGTTGTTCACGGCATTGGACTGCAGCGAAAAATGATTCCCCCATCATTAATTGAACAGGCCCCTGTCATGCTTGGCTGATTAGTTTTGATTTACATTTCGCAAGTCTAGTGCCATACGCAGCAAAAGTCCATTTCTAGTGTTGTAAAGTGCATTTCAAGCCAGGCTGGTTTTTGATTTACGTTTTGGAAGAGAATTTGAAGAGGGCGTTTGATCGTGTCAGGCCCTACGTTTTGAATTTGAATTAACATTTTAAAGAAATTAGAACTACATTTTGAAAAATTTGAACTACGTTTTGAAAAATTAGAACTTCATTTTGAGAAATTTAGATAAGTTAGACATTGAATTTTGCAATTACATTTTGATTTTAACATTGACTTTTGCTGCGTATGGCACCTCATACAGGATGTGTTGTCTCCCGATCGTCCCGATTGGACATATCTGGATCCGCCCCTGCTGTCATGAAAACACATGTGAGGGCGAGTATTGCAGACATCTAATCACACACCAAGAGTGCAATAATCAGTTGTTCTCTTAGTCGGCGAGGCCTACCGTAAGCATCCTCAATCCCGGATCTGTGAGGAACGCTGTATCATCATCATGCCTACACACACATCCGTTGTTCATGCTTTCTACTACCAAGCATGTGGGCTTAGGCAACAGCAGCTAGGTCAGGCCCTAGACTACTAGGCCGAAGGCCTAGGCCTAGTAGTAGTAGTACTCTGCTGATCACAATAACATTAATTTGTATTTTTTCCTTAAGAATACTGCATCTTTACAAGTACGTTCAAAATTATATTATTAGTACGTTGCTTACCTGAAAATAATAAAGCAATCATTTTAAAACCTATTCAACATTACATTCACACCTATCACTTTGTATGTACATACAATTCAAGCGCTTCACTTCCTCTCTCAGCTCTCGATCTCACGCATATGACATGACTTGACCTTTCGTTATACTTGACCGAGTAAGTGAAAGATATTCGGATTTTTTCATGAGATCCGTGACTAATTTTAGGATACATTTTTTTCTCGATGGATTTGGCAAGATTGACCAATTTAGATAAAATATAGCTCCTATACCTCCCAGATATGGGGGGGGGGGGAAGTCCCGTTTGGGGGCGTTTTTCTAGATAACCACTAGTCAGAGAGGCTTGATTTTGGTATCAAACTGTTCACAATATGCATGTTCCTATCTGTTGTAATACAACTTTTTCTCCAAAAATGGCGGGAAATGTGATTTTTGAAAGTTTGACCTTTGATCTTGTATTATCATATCTCGGTAACTACTGGTCACAGACACTCGCAACTGATTGCAAATTGTTCAGGAGTTTCATGTTTATATTCGTCTTAATGAAAAAAATATTCAAATAGTGACCGGAAATGATACATTCCAACCTTTGACCTATTGTTGGGTCATTCCATGTCAAATCAACCAGATTTAAAATAAATTCCTGTATGACCGTCTCAGATTTTGATAAACTCCATAAAAATGATCCACTATATGAAAAACTAACAAAAAAAATTAGCCTTATAGGATATGTAGTTTCCGAGATATTGACCTCCTCAAAAAAGGGGCGTGGTTCTTCAAGATGTGTAAACGCAATTTAATTCAACTTTGGAAGCTTATAACTCGGAATTGGTACCGTAATAGCTATCAAGGTCAAACTTGGTATTCCAACTTACTTTTTACCGTATTTCACAAATATGACCTTAGATTAACTGTCACATCCCTTTCCTTTTGAAGTTAACTGCACTCAAAGTAGCCACTTTGCTTAACGATGCAAATTATTTTGTGATATTCGAGGTCACCCTGCGTTTATATGAGTGGGTATATACCCCCCATATTACAAATATATTATTATCTATGGGTAGTTGTCTCTAGCCACATGCAAGCGCATATGGGTCATAGATTTTTATTATTTTTTTTTTCCACACTGACTCAGTGATATAGATATCTATGTGAACTGAAAAGCCTGAAATTTTAAGACTCGCCAATTCATTCATTTTCCTGTAGCGGCAGTTTGAGGTTAAGGGGTGTGCGCCTCTCAACAAATGCATTACAGCATTACAGGTCATAGATTTTTGATTGTTTGCACCCTCCGGCCTTGTGAATAGAAAAACCTGAAGTTTTGAGACTCAAATTCCCTTTTCATTTTCCCGTAGCGGCAATTCGACGTAAAGGGGGTGTCCCTCAAATTAACTTTGATTTTCATATGCTGATATCATCATACAACCCCTCCTTTTGTACTGTAGGACACCTTTTACTGCTGATTCCAAATCCTTAAAAACATGTTTTAACACATCAACAATAATACCCTACTTTTGTATAAATATTTTGCTTTAATTTTCTAAATCTTTGTCATGACCTGTTAATTTTTCTATGAATTTCAAATTTATTGATCTAAAGTCATTTCTGGTTTAATTCTTAATGGGCAACTTCAACCTGGCTAATAATAACCTCGTCGAATTTGTATTGTGGGTGACGGCCCTTATTATTAGTAAGTCACAGCACTGGTACATCACATATCAATTCTTTGTGGCCAATATATGGTAAATCATTTTCTGGAAACTTTCTATTTCTGTTTCATGAATATATTCATGTTCGATTCATGAATAGAAACTTACTAGAATTCATATTACTTTATATTCATACTTATTTTGGGCCACGCCCCCTTAACTTCAAACTGTCGCTACAGGAAAATGAACGAATTGGCGAGTCCCAAAATTTCTAGTTTTCAGTTCACATTATCACTGAATCAGTGTGCCAATTTTTTTTTTTTTAAATCTAAGACCCATGATGTAATGCATTTGTTGAGTTGGCATGGAATGACCCAACTCTTAAGAACTTTTGTGATTTCCTATGATGTTTGAAATATGTGTTTTGAACATAGTATCTAGCCATGAGCTAAGTACCAAATCTAAAATTTGGTTTATAGGTAGATCTAATGTATCTGATTAATTGGGGTAAATTTAAGAAAAAAATTTTAACTGTCCACATGATGACGATCCGTTGTTAAGAAACATTGGCGTTTCAGGAAGCATTTGTCATTTTTTTTTTGGCCTTACTTCAATTATTTAGCCAAGTTTGATCTTTCACTTTTATGTGATCAATGACACCACAACAAACAATTTTCAGCTTATTGTCCAATTTGTAGATGCGTTTTTCCCTCGTTGGGGGCGCTTTAAAAAAATGGCGGTTTGTGATATTGGTGCTTATATCGCGGCAACCACTGATGGTAGAAGCTTCTAAATGGTCTCAAAATGTTCACAGTATATTGTTACGACATGTGAAGATGAGATAACAGAAAGTGTGAGACCGACAACAGTTTTACAAATTTAAACTAACTAAATGTTTATTATATAAATACGAATAATATAAATGAAATAATTCGGTACAAAATACATGATAATACCTGTCTCTTATACACATCTAGATGTGTATAAGAGACAGTNNNNAAATTAGAATTGTTCAAGTCAGGTTGTGTAAAAGTAAAAATGTTCAAAGCAAAAATTGTTCAAAGTCCAACACCATCATGCTCCACACAGGCTGTCCCACGAATTGTCTTTCTCTATTGATCACATCTCGACAACTCACCTATCATCTCTCAAACATCGTTATTTAACAAGTCCTAAGTCATTCACCCCTTTTCATGGTTTTACTCCCTTTCTCAGAAACTACACCCTTCTACATACCTACTGTCTTACACATCCCCATCTCTTTAATCACAATTACTAACCACGATGATTAAAGCACCACAAAACTCACACTTTCACTTCTTGGATATTGAACTTTAAGATGTGTAAATAATTATAATGATGAAACTGACACTGGTAACACTTTTCCCCTTAAAGGAAAGAAAGATTTATGCAATAAATCTTTCTTTGTTTTATACTAAAACAAAAGATAATAATATTGTTGAACATATAGCACAACGTAAAAGGATAATACAGATTATAAGTAAAAGCAATACAAATTCATGTAAAACAAAGTATACATTAGTTAAAACTAAAATAGAATAATTAAGCAAAATAAAAATATATATGGTAATATATGAATTCAAAATTAATAGGTACTAACATGCAAATCAAGCAGAATCATAAAACTTTCAAATAGCAAACATATCAATTGTTTACGGTTCATGATTTAGACTCGAGACAAAGCATCGGGGACTAAGTTATCTTTTCCCTTAATGTGCTGAATTATCAGGTCATATTCTTGTAGGATTAAACTCCACCTCATCAAACGTTGATTATTGTTCTTCATTTTATTTAAAAATGTGAGGGGATTATGATCGCTGAAAACAGTTAGGGGTTTAACAGAAGAAGATACATAAACATCAAAATGCTGGAGTGCTAAAATTAAAGCAAGGCACTCTTTCTCAATCGTGGAGTAATTTTTTTGATAACGATTGAATTTCTTTGAGCATACAGGATGGTCAATACCATCGTCGTCTTCCTGTAAAAGTACGCCCCCAGCACCAATATCACTAGCATCGACGGCTAATTTAAAATCAATATCAAAATTTGGTGCTGAAAGAACTGGTGTGCTTTTAAGTACGGCTTTAAGTTTGTCAAAGGCGAGTTGACATTGGTCTGACCAAATAAATTTAACCCTTTTTCTTAGTAAATTAGTTAAAGGGGCAGCAATAACAGAAAAATTATTACAGAATTTTCTGTAATATCCAACCATACCAAGAAAGCGCATCAATTGCTCTTTACCATTAGGTGCAGGGAATTCAGAAATAGCCTGGACCTTAGCTTCAACAGGTTTAACCTGCCCCTGCCCAACAACATGTCCCAAAAATGTTACAGAAGCATGGCAGAATTCACTTTTAACTAAATTAACAGTCAAATTTGCTTCTGTGAGCTTGTCGAAAAGGTCCTTGATGGTCTGTAGATGATCTTCCCAGGTTTCCGTGTATATAATAACATCGTCAATATAAGCGTCGCATCCGTCAATTCCCGCTATAATCATATTGACCATTCGCTGAAATGTAGCAGGCGAATTTTTCATGCCAAATGGCATTACCTTGCACTGGTATAACCCATGTGGTGTTACGAATGCTGATATTTCTTTCGCTCTGTCAGTTAAAGGTATCTGCCAAAATCCTTTTAACAAGTCAAATTTTGTAACATACCGTGCATTTCCGATTTTGTCGATGCAATCATCAATTCTAGGTAGTGGGTAAGA